CCCACGAATCATTATCACTCCATTCTGCAAGTGGTTCTGATTTACTATCGCTGTTCTCTAGCTGATCTAAAACCGCTTTTGACCTAAAGGGACGCTTTTTGGACGCCATGGACGTTTCTCAGTTTCCAGGCAGAAAGAACGGTAAAAATGCAGGCAGGGCGCCGGACAAAGCACTCGGGACAAAATGTATGTGAAATGGTTTGATACAGGAATGTTATACTATGTGATTTTAGTGAAAATGTCACTTTTTCACATTTTTAAACTTCCTGCCGTTCCGTCCCCCGTACGTCCCAACATCGCAGGGAACAAAACCCGGAAGACAGATGCCGGCATCGGCTGGAGGACATTGCCGGGGACACTGCAGGGGGGACATCGCGGGAGCACAGGACAAGGTAAGTGAAGAAGAGATCCCGGAGCAACGCTGCAGAGTATATTCCCGAGTGTAGCTCAGGGTTACCGCTTGTGGTGCTGAAACTTTACCCCGAGCTACACTCGGGAATACCGCCGGGGGGTTAAGCTTTGCTCCGAAAGTGTACTATATTGACCAGGTCACATTAAAGGTACAACACCCCAGAAGCCCAGGGGCTACCGTGAAGGCACGCCTGCTAACTATGTATTATATCCAATATAAATGCTGCCCTAAATCTGAAATCCAGGCTTTCATTCAGTCTTGGACAGTTGTACAGGCTCTTCTCTTGTACTAAAATAGTTTACTCTGATTTCTCTGCACACTGTGAGCGTCTCACAATGTGCATTAGAAGCTTCTGCAGTTAGAGCTCCGCCTCATTTCCTGGTTGGAGGACACCCAGCCTCATATAGCCTTTTCCTCCCCAGCCTGACTGTCCCTGGCCCACCCCTTCCATACATTGGATTTCAGTTATTTCAACCATGGAGGCTCAGCATCTCCTAGGGGGAGGGTCTGTATGCAAATACCGACTGCCTAGGAACGCCCACTCCTCCACATGGACACCCACCCATTAACCCTAGGTTCACACCTATGCGGCCATGCGGGCCGCGTTTTGCTCGGGCAGGAGAGCCCATTCATTTGAATGGACTCCCGTGCCCGCGACACGCCAGGAAGAAGTCCCTGCACTACTCTGGAAAATGCAGCCCACACGGGAACCTCGGGAACCGCACAGATGTGAACTGCGGGTAAGAACAGCACTTGTATGTTTGCATAACTCCTTCCAAGATCCAGCCCACTGCATCAGAGCTGAGGGTTCTTGAGAGGAGGCAGGGTGCTGTGATGTTTTTAGGAAGGTATGATTGCACCCTGCTGGCCCTTCTTGCCAGCCATGCTCTGCCTGCATTGAGAAGCAGTAAAGTGCTCCTGTTTTGCAGCAGGAAAAATACAATTCATGTATAAAGTCCAATCATACCTAAGCTATAAAGGACTGTTTTGTTTACTAACAGTCCTCCTCCTTGGCAGCTTGGGCACACTGCTCTGGGTGGCTGTGCACAGCATAGCCATCCAGAGCAGTGTGATTAGAGTGAAACACAGAAACCGCCCCCTATTAAAACACTCCCAGCACACAGTTAACCCTTTGATTGCCCCTCATGCTAACCTCTTCCTGCCCAGTACCATTAGTACAGTGTCAGTGCTTTTTTTCTTAGCAGTGATCACTGTATTGGTGTCACTGGGAATATCAGTGACACAAAGTCATTTCCTCCCAGTGTCAGAATGCCCGGCACAGTCCCACTATAAATCGCTGATCGCCGCCATTACTCGTAAAAAAAAAAAAAAACTATTCCGGAATCTATACCGTCATTTGTAAATGCTATACCTTTCATGTAAACCAGTGGTTCTCAACCTTTCTAGCGCCGCGACCCCTTAATACAGTTCCTCATGTTGTGGTGACCCCCAACCATAAAATTATTTTCGTTGCTACTTCATAACTGTAATTTTGCAGTAGGAGGAATAGTGCCACGTCATTGGTGTCATTGGGAGGAATAGTGCCCCGTCATTGGTGTCAGTGGGAGGAATAGTGCCCCCTTCATTGGTGTCAGTGGGAGGAATCGTGCCCCGTCATTGGTGTCAGTGGGAGGAATAGTGCCCCGTCATTGGTGTCAGTGAGAGGAATAGTGCCCCATCATCGGTGTCAGTGGGAGGAATAGTGCCTCATCATCGGTATCAGTGGGAGGAATAGTGTCCCATCATCGGTATCAGTGGGAGGAATAGTGCCCCATCATAGGTGTCAGTGGGAGGAGGAATAGTGCCCCATCATAGGTGTCAGTGGGAGGAGGAATAGTGCCCCATCATTGGTGTCAGTGGGGGGAGGAATAGTGCCCCATCATTGGTATCAGTGGGAGGAATAGTGCCCCATCATTGGTATCAGTGGGAGGAATAGTGCCCCATCATTGGTGTCAGTGGGAGGAATAGTGCCCCGTCATTGGTATCAGTGGGAGGAGGAATAGTGCCCCGTCATTGGTGGGATCAGTGCCCCGTCATTGAGGGGAGGAATAGTGCCCCGTCATTGGTATCAGTGGGAGGAATAGTGCCCCGTCATTGGTATCAGTGGGAGGAATAGTGCCCCGTCATTGGTGTCAGTGGGAGGAATAGTGCCTCGTCATCGGTATCAGTGGGAGGAATAGTGCCCCATCATCGGTATCAGTGGGAGGAATAGTGCCCCTTCATCGGTATCAGTGGGAGGAATAGTGCCCCATCATCGGTGTCAGTGGGAGGAATAGTGCCCCATCATCGGTGTCAGTGGGAGGAATAGTGCCTCATCATTGGTATCAGTGGGAGGAATAGTGCCCCATCATTGGTATCAGTGGGAGGAATAGTGCCCCATCATTGCTGTCAGTGGGAGGAATAGTGCCCCATCATTGGTGTCAGTGGGAGGAGGAAATAGTGCCCCATCATTGGTGTCAGTGGGGGGAGGAATAGTGCCCCATCATAGGTGTCAGTGGGGGGAATAGTGCCCCATCATTGGTGTCAGTGGGGGGAATAGTGCCCCATCGTAGGTGTCAGTGGGGGGAATAGTGCCCCATCATAGGTGTCAGTGGGGGGAGGAATAGTGCCCCATCCTTGGTGTCAGTGGGGGGAGGAATAGTGCCCCATCCTTGGTGTCAGTGGGGGGAGGAATAGTGCCCCATCCTTGGTGTCAGTGGGGGGAGGAATAGTGCCCCATCCTTGGTGTCAGTGGGGGGAGGAATTGTGCCCCATCCTTGGTGTCAGTGGGGGGAGGAATCGTGCCCCATCCTTGGTGTCAGTGGGGGAGGAATAGTGCCCCATCGTTGGTGTCATTTGGGGGAGGAATAGTGCCCCATCGTTGGTGTCAGTGGGGGAGGAATAGTGCCCCATCGTTGGTGTCAGTGGGAGGAATAGTGCCCCATCATTGGTATTAGTGACACCAATGATGGGGCACTATTCCCACTGACACCAATGATACTTACCTTGCAGACCCCTGCTCCAGCCTGGGCTCGCTCGCTCCCTCCCTCTCCCATGGTACCGACACTTACCTGTCAGATGTCTTCCTTCTCCGGCCGCTCTCCTCCTCTTCACTCGCTCGATCTTCGCGGTGCCGCTCGGCTCCTCCTCTCCCAAGCTCCACCTCCTTGCCGGTGATTGGCCGCCTGTGTGCCTCTCCTGAGCTACAGTGCCGGCGGCCAATCACAGGCGAGGATTGATCTCGAGGTGTGTCCAGATGACAGGGGCGGCATGTCATCCCGCCCACACCTGGAGACGGCGGTGGCGGCGGCGGTGGCGAGGAGCGGTGTCTCGGTTCCTAAGACCATCGGAAATATGTGTTTTCCGATGGTCTTAGGCGACCCCTGTGGAAGCGTCGTTCGACCCCCAAAGGGGTCGCGACCCCCAGGTTGAGAACCGCTGATGTAAACCAATTAATTTACACGTATTGGGATTTTTTTTTAGCAAAGACATGGAGCAGAATACATTTTGGCCTACGTTTATGAAGAAATATGATTTTTTTTACTTTTTTTATGGAATATGGTTTATAGCAAAAAGTCAAAAATATTGTTTTTTTTCTGAAATTGTCTCTTTTTTTGTTTATAGTGCAAAAATGAAAACCGCACAGGTGATCCAATACCACCGAAAGAAAGCTCTTTCTGTGGGGGGGGGGAAAAAAAGGATGTAATTTCATTTGGGTGCAGCGTTGCATGACCGCACTTTTGACAGTTAAAGTAACGCAGCGGCGTAACGCAAAAAGTGGCCTGGTCAAGAAGGGGGGTAAATCCTCTGGAGTGCAAGTGGCTATTATGTGCTGTGATTGACCCACAGCTATCACATGGTACAGGGTGCTGTGATTGGTTCAGGTACCATGTGATAGCTGCGGATCAATCACAGTATTACAATATGAAGCACAGCTCTTATGAATGTAAGCCATTCATAACGGTGGTGTTTACATTTAGATCATGTAATCGCATAGCGATTATGTGATACCTCAGCCAATTTGAATGGGAGCTGCACTCCAGTGGACACAACGGTTCTGAAGCCGCGTGCTGCATGCCCCAGGGGGCCCGTAATGTGGCAGTAAGCTGGTGATGTACATATACATGTTCCATGTTACATGTGAGGGCAAACAGCACGGTTACAATATTGAATACACAATTGAATACGGTAGGAATCTGAGGGCCGGCTCGTTAGAGCTTACAATCTAAAAGGGAAGGGTCAAGTGATACAAAAGGTAATAACTGGGGGGGATGAGCCGATGGAGAAAATACAGTACAGCTGTTAGGTGGAGGCAGAATAGGCTTCTCTGAAGAGAACGTTTTCAGGGATCGCCTAAAAGTGGACAGAGTAGAAAGATAGTCAGACAGATTGGGGTAGGGAAATCCAGAGGATGGGAGAGGCTCGGGAGAAGTCCTACAGGCGAGCATGGGAGGAGGTGACCAGGGAACTAGAGAGCAGAAGGTCTTGGGAGGATCAAAGAAAGTGGTTTGGTTGATATTTTGAGACCAGGTTGGTGATGTAGCTCAGGGCAGAGTTGTGGATGGCTTTGTAAGTTGTTGTCAGTGTTTTGAATTTAATTTGTTGGGTGAGTGGCAGCCAGTGGAGGGATTGGCAGAGAGGGGTGGAGGACACTGATTGGAGGCCAATGGAGGAATTGGCAGAGAGGGGTGGAGGACTCTGAGTGGAGGCCAGTGGAGGGATTGGCAGAGAGGGGTGGAGGACACTGAGTGGAAGCCAGTGGAGGGATTGGCAGATAGGGGTGGAGGACACTGTGTGGAGGCCAGCGGAGGGATTGGCAGAGAGGGGTGGAGGACACTGAGTGGCAGCCAATGGAGAGATTGGCAGAGAGGGGTGGAGGACACTGAGTGGAGGCCAGTGGAGGGATTGGCAGAGAGGGGTGGAGGACACTGAGTGGCAGCCAATGGAGGGATTGGCAGAGAGGGGTGGAGGACACTGAGTGGAGGCCAGTGGAGGGATTGGCAGAGAGGGGTGGAGGACACTGAGTGGCAGCCAATGGAGGGATTGGCAGAGAGGGGTGGAGGACACCGAGTGGGGGCCAGCGGAGGGATTGGCAGAGAGGGGTAGCAGACACTGAACAGTTGGTAAGGTGGATGAGTCTGGCAGCAGCATTCATGATGGGCTGGAGGGGGGATAGCCTTTGTAAAGGTAAGCCAATGAGTGAGAAGGGAACTGCGAGAAATAACCTGGGAGTGAATTAGGATCTTTGTGGTGTCATAGGTTAGGAAGGGGCGCATTTTGGAGATGTTGTGGAGGTTAAGACGGCAAGCTTTGGAAAGTGATTGGTACAGTAGTCGTCTGAAAATAC